AAACTTGAGCATCACTAATTTAGAGAAGAAAACATCCGAGTGTTCTTCCGATATGATAAAATGACCACCACAAAATAGTAGTTCATCATTTCTCCGATTGAAGGTTACAGACAGGAGAAAGAAAAAAAATGAATTTTAAAAGAAAACAAAGAAAATGAAATTTAAGATGACCAAATTTAAGCTGATTCATTCTAGTCATTCTATTCTAATGTTAAAGCACCTATAATGATAAAGGCCTTTAAGTACCTGAAACAATGCGAAGTGGATGAGATGAAGAACTAATTGAGGGCGACCAAACCAAAAATATTTGTCGGACCCTTGCACAAGAGGTATCCCTTGCACAACTGCATGCCTTTCTGTGATTTCAATAGCCATCTTCGTCAAAATTGCTTGAAGCTCTGTCCCAACAGCTAAGATTATCTGTAATCAATCAAATGATAAGACATCTAAAATATTCTATATTCTGGAATACTCATTACTAGGAGAAGATGTCTTACAACTACAGGGATTATGGAGGCCCAAAACAATGCTTGCCATCCTGAAACAAACATAAATTTGTAAATCAATCTGGAAGCTAAGATATTGCTTTAGTGGCTTTTTCAAGGAGAAAATGGCTCACCGCTGACGTTTAGCAGCAAGAAAATCACGAAGGATGCCCATAAAACCGGACTGAAAAGCAACATAAGTGTAAGTCAAATGAAACAATAAATTATGGTAGAGTAGAATAAGTCAAAATAAAACCATAGACCAGGGCAGAATAAAAAGTGAAACATGGAAAACCCATTACCTTACTCCAACAACCACCTTAAAGTCATCCTCTAACGATCTTTTGATGTACTTTTGGAAGTCGAATTTGCTGCCTGGAGCTAAATGCACCTACAAACATAAAATTTTCAGAATAATAATAAAATCTAACTTTTGGAAGTTGAATTTGCTTCCTGGATCTAAATGCACCTACAAATATAAAATGTTCAGAATAATAATAAAATCTAACATCAGATAATGTCAGTTGTGCAGTAGAAGACTCACAGTAATAAATCCATTGCGCAATGTCAGGTAATCAGCCCTTCCAACAGACCTGAAAAACTGTCGAAGGAAGCATCCCTGCAATGGATTGCATTTTAAGAGTTTAATAAGATTCGCATTGGTAATACTTGACCTTATACAGCAAAATCATTAGCCTATTGGAAAGCAAATGAATTTAGAAAAGCTTTAGCTTTACCTCTACAGGTCAGCCAATTGGTTCCTGTTAGAAATGCTACACTACTCACCAAACACACTACACTTAAAAGTTTATTGTTCAACTGTGACAACGATTTTTCATTTGTTCTTTACTTCAGACAGTTTTTTCTTTATCTATTGATCAATTCCTCATCACAAGTCTATTAATTCTGAATTCATAACATTCTTAA